CCCCCCCCAGTGTTTCTTCAATCTTCTTCTCTGCCTGGCTCCCCGGCCTCTTCCCCTTTTCCCCTGCAACCCCAACAACTTTCCAGACAAAGGTCGTCGTCTTCAACTTCAAGCATCATTTCTTCTAACGCCAAACTTGTGTTGACCCCAAGTACTGGGGCGTTGGAGTTCGAGTCTCTCCTCGTCAGGTCACGTATGGATGATATCTTCACCGCCATTGTTTGGTCCGGCCGAATAGACAGCTCCTGTTGAGAATTTAAGGCAGAATTCTTGCTTGCTGCTTGAAAATGAGTGTGAAAGCATGCCAAGTCTTGCCTTGTGATAAGTACAGGATGTCTCTCGCTAACACTGATTCACCCGTTATAAAAATATTTGACAGTAAGTCGCGCCACGAATTTTTGACCACTCTATAATTGTGTGGACAGGGTACGTAAAACACCCACATGTGAGGCAGCGTGGTGGAATCAGGCTCTCGTCAAATTAATCAAAGTGAAGAAACTCGCATTTTTCCTCAGGTTTGTGAATTTTTATCAAATTTATGATTTTTGGCCCAACACCTTTCATGCCCATTAAAGAACTCATTTCTGAGCGGATTTTTTCTGAAAAACGTTGATTAAAGGCTCAAAAAATGTAAATTTTCAGTTACCAAGGACTCTTGAGCTAAGGAAATAACTAATCTTTGGCGGCCATTTTCTCACAAATTTTACCTCTGAAAACAGGTGACCCCCCACCTCCTTTTTTTAGCAAATATATCGACTTGTATTCAAGATAAATGGACATTTTTTTCATCCAAAAAAAGACAAGTGAACAAGCTTTAAGATGATACCAATAACTCTACATGCCCCAAGATTGACGAGAGCCTGATTCCACCACGATGCCTCACACATTTACAATACAGGGTGTTTCCCGCTAAACCCACCGTGTGGAAAATACCTATTACGGGCAGTTCAATATCTGTGCACTTTGGTACCTTTGTATAGGCCTATAGCAAATATAGTACATAACAAGATGGTTCACTCAGCTAAAAAAGTGTCCTCCGGAAGTTCACTCTTTGCTTCAGATGGCGCTGCAGTCTGTTTTGAAGCTCTCTTTCGTTTTTCCAGAAGAAGAATAGGAATAGCACCTCCTTGCGTGCGCAGATCGACTGCTGTTCATCAGCTGTTCGGGTTCGTTCAGTGCGGAGTTTCAGTTTTTTAAAATTTTAATGACCTCTCGCCTTTCATTCTTAAGTCAAATTAAACGAAGAAAACAGTCACCCCTTCCTCCGGAAGAGGTTTTTTGTCAGCGTAACCATTGAAAAAAAGCGTTCTTCAGAATTTTATCCAAAAACTTGCTAGTTTCACTTTGATTTTTTAAACTCAAGTAGGGTAACTCTGTTCGCAAAGTGTGCGCATTTGCGAAGAGGGCGCCACCGAATTTTGAGGACACTTTTTTAATTGGCTCAAAGAGAGGAGTGGCCCCTCTTGTTATGTAGACTCTTTGGTGTCTCCCGCTAGACGCACCGTGGGGAAAATACCTTTTACGGCCAGTTCAATATCTGTGCACTTTGGTGCCACTGTATAGGCCTATTGTATGGTTAACAATTCGTGGCGCAACTTATTGGCAAATATCTCCTCAACTATCGAACATAGGTTCTCCAATTTTGGCAGCGCAGTGACTTGTACCAATTTGTCTAACAGATCAATATTTTTGTAAAGACCTGTAGGCTCTATTCCAGAAAATTCCTTAATAAATACTCATAAAAAATCCTAGTGGGTGGTTTCTAATGATTTTAAAAGGTTTACAGCTGGGACGATATCGCTTTTAAAAGCAAGTCCGTCATTATTTTCTAATCGCGAGATCATTTTTATTGAACGCATGTTTTGAGAACTTTCAGTGCAAAATGTGTTCACTACAACAATAATTTATTGTAACAAGTTTTGCAAGTAAAAATTGTCATTGATGAGCTGTGACGTAGGCCATATGCGTAATCAAAATGTGTGCGAGAAGCAGGAAGTGCTGTGAACAATACCATTTTAAATGTGACAGAGATTTCAAGTATTTTATATAAATTTATGAAGAAAAGTTTTTTAATCTAGCCTCATTTGTTCTGGAAAAATATGATTTAGTTAAGACAAATTGATACAAACTACTATACAAAGTATGGACGACAATGATTCACCCGTTAAAGAGATATTTGAGCATTCCAGTAGATTGTAAATATAGTAGGCCAATGACTTTCAGTTGATGTTAAGGCACCGATCATTCCTTTCAACGAAAGGGGGCCCAGCTAGTATAATATGTGGCAACTTGGAAACGCGTGTGTCACTTTTCTCTCAAGATTTAATGCTCCATTTCAGTACTAGAGTGTAAATATAGTAGGCCAATGACTTTCAGTCGATGTTAAAGCACCGATCATTCCTTTCATCAAAAGGAGGCCCAACTAGTAATGATATAAGGCCAGACAGCGATCGGCCGACTCACCTGAGCTGTGCCCGACACGACGAGAGCGTTTTCACTGGCGTCTGTCTCGTGCTGTGTCCCGGCCGGCGGCGGCTCTACTACTTCCGCTTCCGCTGTCGTCTGCTCCTCGTTCTGCCCCGTTTCCGTTTCCGCCTTGTGGTCATCTTCTTCCAATTGGGGCAGGTCTGGAAAAACCTGGGGCGGAGGGGAGTCGGGAGCCGGGCTCGACATGTCTGGGGATAAGAGGTGGGTAAAATCCGGATAAATATCCACTCTTATTTTTCTTGGAAATAATTATTTTTTTTGCTTGCATTTTGGCAAACCATTGATCTACAATTTGTGAGATGAATTTTTCATACACGTACTAGAAAATTGTTATTGAATTTTTTTCCTCAGATAGTATTCACGTTTGCAAAAAATCAGTGAAAATCCATACTCCAAACACCGCCAACGAAAAACTGTTCTATATATCCAATGTTCATCACACATAGTTTTAGTATCCATCTTTTCTTCATTCTGTGAAAATTTCTTGCAGGTTGGATGAAAAAAGGTGGAGTTATTTAAAAAAGTATATTATAACAACACCACGTTTCAAGAAAACGGGCGATAAAGAAAAGTAAAAGATTGAATTTATGAGGCAGGAAATGATGGTGACAAACATGCCCGGTGTGGGAAGAAAAAAGGTTTTATGGGGTTCTAATGCGATGGAATAGTTGTCAGAGAGGATGATGAAGCTAAACTTGCCTACAACTTGAAATTCATAGTTTTGAGCCGAATCGGGACTTTCAGCT